ATGATTTGAACCATGGTTAGAAAGCAGGTCTAATACGTATAAAGATGCTTGTGCTCAGAAAGCAAAGATTATACACTTTTTATAAATTTACCTGAAATATTGAGAGCAATGAAAACAGACCCTTAGATGGATGTTTTATTTCAGAATATGTCATCCTAGATGGAGGGACCCTTTGGTCTTATAACTTTTGTTCCAGTAAAGGATAATATTGATCCCAGTCCTATCCAAAGCACCTGCCTCAAAACCAGATACTTGAAAAGTCAGATTACTGTTTTGCATATTTTTACGTTTCCTTCTCATAGAAATCACACCTTCCTATAATATGTTATGTGTGGGGCAGCTGCCAGATCATGCTGCATGCTATAATGCCAAGGAATTATCACAGGAACTCCATGCTACTTCAGAGTTTATATATACGTATATGTGTATGTGCATATACACATGTATACATATATGGTTGCATATATGTTAAATTTTATTATTATATAATTTATATACTACCAAGTGCACTCATTTAGGGTGTACAATCCAATAGCTTTAGTATACTTTCAGAGTTGTGTTGTCATCACTACCACCTAATTTTAGAACATTTCATTGCTCCTGAAAGAAACTTTTCATCCATTAACAGTCAAATCCGATGGGCATGGAGGAGGACACTTGTGGGGATGAGCACTGAGTGTTATGTGGAAACTAATTTGACAATAAACTATTTGTAAAAAAAAAACAAAAACAAAAAAAAAACCAGTCAAATCCTACTCTACCCTCTGCTCCTTCATCTTCCAAAGTGGCTACACCATTTTATATCCCCATCAGCAGTGTGCAAGGGTTCTAATTTCTTCATATCCTTATCAAGATCTGTTATGTCTGTCTTTTTTATTATAGACATTCTAGTACATTTGAAGTGGTGTCTTAACTGTGGTTTTGATTTGTATTTCCCTTGTGAGTAATGATAAGATCTTTTCATGTGCTTATTCGCCATTCATGTATCTCCTTTGGAGAAATGTCTATTCCAGCCCTTTGACTATTTTTAAATTGGGTTATTTTTAAAATTATTATTGAATTGTAAGGGTTCTTTTTATATTCTAGATACAAGGGTCTTATTAGATATATGACTTTCAAATATTTTCTCCCATTGTGGTTGTCCTTTAATTGTCCTTTGAAGCATGAATACTTTTAATTTTTATGAAGTCCAATTTATCAGTCATCTAAGATATGTACTTTTGGTGTTGTATCTGAGAAGTCATTGCCTAACCCAAAGTCATGAAGATTTATTCTTGTTTTGCTTTAGGGGTTTTATAACTTTAGCTTTTACATTTAGATCTATGATCCACTAGAGTTAACTAAGTGTTGTCACACAACAGCCTGGGAGCTGGGAAAGGGGCCTGCTGGGTTTGGCTGGAATAATGTGATACCATTCAGCTGTGATCCCTTTGCTTTCTTCCAGCTCTGGTTGAAAAGGTCAGAGAACTGTGAAGGAAAGGTATGTAGTGACCCATGAATACACCTTGTCATGATTCTTTAATACTGTGTCTCACTACGAAAGTAGGAATACCTTGGGATTTGGGGGATAAGCTCCAGTAAAACCCCATAACCCAAGATTTACTGATTCTTTGCTGATGACCAGTTTTCCAATTGATCAAAATCTCTTCTGTAACATTGCTCTTCAACAAAAATTAATTTTCCTTCTGTATACACATCTTATTCTATGAGTAAATAATTCTGATTCCAAAGCAGAACTTTGCTTGAATTCTGTTAAGTAAGTGTGATACTTATTCTCTTCTTTCCCTAGAGAATGGTGTTGCTAACCAGGAACCTGCCCCTTTGTGGGCTTTTCTACTAGATTCCACAATTCTGCTAATGCTCTCCTTAGTAACTCTCCCAGTCACTTGGCCTTGATGTTCCTAAATATGATCAGTTTGACATCCTTCTATAAAATGCAAGGTTAGGGGCACCTGGATGGCTCAGTCGGATAGGTGTCTGACTTCAGCACAGGTCCTGATCTCACGGTTCATGGGTTCAAGCCCCACGTCAGGCCCTGTGCTGACAGTTCAGAGCCTGGAGCCTGCTCCGGATTCTGTGTCTCCCTCTCTCTCTGCCCCTCCCCTGCTCACACTCACTCTCTCTCTGTCTTTCAAAAATAAATAAGCATTAAAAAAAATTTTTTTAAACCCACAAGGTTGAACACTCCTAGGGAACATTTCACTTTGTCAGAGTCTACCTTATTTTTGACATGTCTCAGATGATGAATTTTTTTGAAGACAATGAAATCTACTTTCCTCAAGCTTCATGTGCATTCCAACTACCCATGTAGAGCAACCCCTTATTTGATTATGGAAACTTTGAGATGGTGCAACTGCTTTCTCACAAGGTTCTGGTTGCATCACAGGTTCCTTTTTCCTGGTCAGAATTCAGGCTAGGATGGTCTTTGGAGTCTCCCAAGAGACAAAACTGGTTAGCAAGAGAAGCTTAAAAAGTGTATTCTATTCTCTTCATCATTTCTGTAATATCATGCCTTAGTTTGGATAGGAACACGTCATCTATTCCTTCTACTCCTTGATCTCTGCTACAGCAATTTTTTTCTATTCTTGTTTCTTTTGATTTGATGCTCACCACGTTTTTCATCATCCTCTACCCTAAAATATAATGTTATTTGACAAATATTTACTGGGAGTCTACTGTGTGCTAAGTACTACTCAGAAAAAACATAAATTTACATATAGATATATTACTATTTCTACCTTTTCACCACTTCAATGAGTTGTACCCCTTTTGAAAAAGGTATGTGTCACAATCTTCTCAAAGAAGAGAAATATATATACTTGTTTTTATTTCTCTTGCTAGTCAGTTTTCTCTTGGGAAGCTCAGAAATTTTGACCAACTATGGATATAATATATACCACTAATATGGGCACAACTAATGAGCAACTGCTTTTCTCTTTAAGCTTTGGATACAAAATTATATGAAACTTTAAGAATTACCTACAATCAAGCACTCACTTGCTCTCTCTCTCTCTATCAGATTTATAGCATTGTTTTTATGATAATCCTGCCAAGGGGCACCTGCGTGGCTCAGTTGGTTAAGTGTCTGACTCTTGATTTAAGCTCAAGTCATGATCTCACAGTTTGTGAGTTGAAGCCCTGCATCTGCCTCTGTGCTGATAGCATGGAACCTGCTTAGGACTCTCTTTCTCTCTCCGTCTGGTCCTCTGCTGCTTGCGCTCTCTCTCCCTCTCTTTCTTTCACGCTCTCTCAAAATAAATAAATATTTTTTTTAAAAAAAGAAAGAATCCTGCCCCAAAAATGCATTACCTGGATCTAACCATGAGGCAACATCAGACAAACCCATATTGAAAAATATTGTACAAAATAACTGGCCTACAAACTTCAAAAAGTGTCAAGGTCATGAAAGTCAAAGAAAGACTGAGGAATACTGTTCCAAATTGAAAGACACAACTAAATGCAACACACAATCTTGAACTGGATCTTAAAACTTTAAAGAATGCTGTTGGGACAACAGATAAACTTGAATCGTTTCTGAGAACTCAGTGGTAGTAATGTATCAGTGTTATAATTTCCTGATTTTGATGGACATATTGTAATTATATAGGAGAATATCTATGTTTGTAGAATAATGGGGCATCATGTTGGCAATTTAAGACCAAAAGGTGGTGAGGTGGAGTTATTATTCTTGCCCCAGCCCTAAATTAACATGTGATGTTGAATATGTGACTCATTAAACAGTCACACCATTATTGATTAATGGTATCTATTACGGGTACAGGATATTTCTACCCATGCAGTATATTACTGATCTTAGTCTATAGACATGATGACATCAAACAAACCCTATTTAGCAGTGTGGCTGGCCCTGTTGATTGCCTACCTGTCATTCCTTCCTTCAGTTCTTTCCTGTTTAATAAACCCTAATTTCATCGAAATATGGATATCTGGTCCTTTCTTCCCCCAGAAAGTGAAGTTTTTATTGGTCTAAGCCAGTCATGGTTTAGGCATGGACATGTGATATATAATTTTGGCTAATGATATACGATATGTGAAAGCAGGTCTGCAGGGGTGGAAATAGGGGTGCTTTATGGAAAGATTTGCCTTCTTAATGACAAGAGGTCACAGAATGGAATGGCTCCTCTTCTGTGTGATGAGGTCATGCCTACATGTCACCTAGAAACTATAGCAGTCATTTTGCAACCATGTGAAGAACAAGCCTAAGGAGAAAAGCCAAGATAGTGAAGACGACAGAGCAGAAAGATAAAAAATGTTCTTGATAAGGTCACTGACAGCTAAATTAAGCAAGCCAGTAACCACTCTATCCCCTTGCCTGTTTTGGGAAATAATAGACTTTGCTTATTATTTAAATATATGTTTAATGTGTGTAATTAACATATAATTAATAAATTTACATTTCTACGAATGTCTTTGACTTAGAATTATAGATTTGGAAGTGGCCTTAGAGGTCATCTATATTCCAGTCCAAACTTTTTATTTATTTGTAAGAACAGCTCAGACAAGTAAGGCAACTTGCCCAAGACCAAAAGGTAGTAGTTGATGAGATTCTAGAAACCAAGTCTTTGGATTCCTCTCTGTGTCCACCATACTGTCTACTCCTCTAAACACAGAAAATAGTTCCAAAACTTTCAGGACATTTTGACTGAAGGAAGGGCATGGGGAATCTAATGTCTGGATAGGGAATGGCTGATTTTCCTACAGCAAGTGTTCCATTCAATCATGTTTATATGGTTTTCTTCTACCAGGATAACAAATTCCACACTAGACACTAGCTCTTGCCCAGATTCACAGAACTGCTGCAGATCTTTCCCAAGAAACATTTGGCTTTTATCTAATTTAAGTAAATATGTGGTGATATTTCTTCCCTTAAGCATCCACAAGTATTCAGAGAACCACATTATTTCAGGCATTATTTCATATAGGAAATTTTATAGAAAGAAATTTTCACCTCTTGGGAAGTGACTTTTGAAAATAAAGACATGCAAGCATTTACTTTTCTCTCTTTACGACTTTCACACCAAGGAGGCCAAACTGAAAAACACAACACACAATAACAATAAAGCGTTATCTAAGGTAAAAAAGCATTATTGGCAGTTACATATTGTGTGGCTTTTACGATCTGCTTCCTTGTTTGCATTTGAATAGCACTGCCATTTTAACCACCTTAGACATGCTTTTGTCTTGAATTTTGCACCTTTTCTATAGGTTTTTATAGCTTCATAAATGCAGCACTGTGTTTAACAAAGATAAGGGCATTTTCTGGGCATTTTGCTTTTCAAATACAAAGGATAGTGATGCACATTATTACATTACTAGTCACTATAAATAAATATCCCACTGTCTTTTTGCTAAGTACATTACTGATTAATCACTACAGATTAAAATAATCCCATATTGAAACAGTAAATTTTTTAAGGTTAATAGAAACTGTATCCATATGGTATTGTTGTTTTAATAGCTTAATTTGCAAATAAAGGAGCAATTATAATAATTTACCTCTTAAAATAATACAAGATTTATAGAATATTTTCCTTCATGAAAACAGCACCACCATCTGGAACCCTACAGTTTGTGCAATGAAAGAATTAAATTGCAAGGTTTCGTCTTGTTTTGTTTTAGCTGGTAGAAAAGTAATTTGTCTCTTCCTGAGAGATTTTACCAATAAAAGTAAGGCAGAAATAGCATTTTGTTATCAAGTAAGAAATAACTGTGTTCTCTGACCCACCCTCCCCAGTCCCACCACAAGAGATTCATGTAGTTTGTGTCCTACAGAAATCAATTGATTTGAATGCTATCAGACTCTCACATGGTTTCTTTTATAGCTAAAGTTATTATAAAATTACCATTTCAACAAGGATTAATTTTATATGACCTCCTGAATGCATTTTCTTCACTACAGAAAAATAGACTTTTTTCTTTAACCTCATGTTAAATAAGTTTGATGTTCCAATCTTTCTCAGGAGATTAATTTGTACCCATGATGAAAAACAATTCTCAAATATTAGAAACTAAAAGAATTTTTTTTTAATGTGTTTTATTTATTTCTAGGAGAGAGAGAGAGACAGCGCGAGCAGGGGAGGGTCAGAGAGAGAGGGAGTCACAGACTGAAACAGGCTCCAGGCTCTGAGCTGGCAGTCAGCACAGAGCCCGACGCGGGGCCCGAACCCACGAACCGCGAGATCATGACCTGAGCGAAAGTCGGACGCTCAACCGACTAAGCCACCCAGGCGCCCCAAGAATTTTAAGTACTATACAAGTATACAGAATTATTGTTATCATTATTATATAAATTAAAGGGACCATGAATAGTGTAGCATATATAAGTACATATATGCGGCTCAAATATAGCTCTCTATAATAGCTTTACTAAATAGTACATAAAATTATGCAAACTTTAAGTTCTTCAACAATGGAAAACACTAAATAATGTTTGTTAAAATCCCTACTATTCTCATGAATGGAACAAAGCAGTTCATTCAAGAGTAAAAAATCATATCCAACACTCTAAACAATCATTTTCTTGTATTGTTGGATTAGGATGTTTTAATCAATGGCCTTATTGCCATTGTTTTTTCATAAATCAGCCTTAAAACTGAACACTCCAGTGTTCCATTCAGTTGCCAAAATCAGTCTCATCCTGCATTGAGCCATGTGCATCCTCTAAAGTGGAGCCAAGAACAACTGAAGCAACTGTTTCCCGAAAAACAAAGGCAAAAATTCTCCAGCTATGTCAGATGAACACTATGGATAAACATGCTTTTTTATCTATTCCTAACCCCACTGTTGAATTTCAGCTTTCTAGTCTGTGAATATGTTCCCAATTAGCTCATTTGATCATCTTTTCTCCTATTACGAACATTCAAATGACATTTAACCTAGTGACTGAGTTACAGAGCTACAGTGTATCAACCCTGCTCTAAGTGTTTCATACGTATTCATTCATTCTCATACGATTCTATGACTTGAGCACTATTATTTCCTCCCACATTTAAAGATGAGGAAGCTGAGGCCCAAAAAGTTAAGCACATTTGCCCAAGGTCACACAACTAAGAAGGAGAACACCATGGATTTCAACACAGAAAGTCACATTTCTAAAGCCCTAATTTAAACTACTCTAAGGCCACTTTCTAACCAGTATACGATGTCAGGGTCTTCAGTGATCTTTGACCTTGGCTACCACTCTACATTTTATTAATTTTAGTCCCAGCTTATCTTATTTTGCAGTAAATATCAAATCAATTTGTAAGCCTTTTTTCCATATATATTGTATTTGTTTTCATCTATACATGTTTAAATTGCTCTTTCTTCAAGTCTTTCAGTATTCAATCACTATTGAAAGCCAACTATGCAACTTCTAAAATATTATCTAACTTTCAAAAATCTATGGTTTCATTTGGCATTATCTATCAAAATTCATCATGCATACATACTTTGAACTAGCAATTCTACTGCTATAGCTTTATCATATATATATTCTCCCATATGTCCTTAAAGACAAATGTATAAGAATGTTCATTTTACCAATGTAAAAACAAAAGTTTGGAAGAAATCTAAATGCCCACCATGGGGGACTGGTTAAATAAATTATGGTTCATCCTTGCAATGGGATATTATAACTTTATTAAAAAGAATGAGCTGGAGCTTTATGTATACATATTAAACTAAGTTCAAGATACATGAATTGAAAAAAGATACTTAGAATATTCCTATTTACAGGTAATAAAATGTACATACATATACCTATATTTAAATAGAAAAATGTCTAATAAATGCTTTTGGAGGGCATTTGTAGAAACAAAGAGATATTTCAGTGTTACTCTTGTGCTATTACCATGAGAATATATCATTTTCCAATTAAAATAGAGACTAATCATAGAGAAAGGAATCATTTGTGCTTCTATGAGCAAAGCACAGCATTTGGAGCAAATATAGTTAATTCTCTGTCCCTGCCACCAAGGAAAGTGGCATTTGTTTGGAATAGGAGCCATGTACACATGCAGTTTTACTGCCAAGAAGGAATTTAAATGCTGTGAGTAGGAAGATTTCAAGTCAAAGGAGGGAAAGCTTTTCTCACTAGGGAGAGTAGAGAAGGTATGGGGGAAGGAGTGTTAGGACTGGGTCTTGAGGTGTTTCACTGAGGCAGCATAGGTTTAGGTGAGTGGATTCTGAACCTGAGGTCCCTGGATTCCAATCTGGCTTCAGCAATGATTTGCCATATGATCTTGAGCAAGTTTCTTAGCTTCTCTGTCCTCGGTTTCCTTGTTAATAAATTGAGGATAACAATAGTACCTATTTCATCATGTGGTGGCAAGGTTTAAATGAGTTCGTATGCACAAAGTATGCAGAACAACTTGTATAATCACTATTGAAGTATTTGCTATAACAATTTAATTGAACAGGAGAAGGGTTAATTAATTTTTAAAGGGGGTATGATAACCAATTTGTATAAAAGTAAGTTAGAACTCTATTTTGTACCTTACCCCAAAATAATTGTCAGGCGATCAAAGATTTAAATATTAAAAAAAAGGGAGGGTCCAACTCTTGATTTCAGCTCAGGTCATGATCATAGGGTTGTGGGATCGAGCCCTGTGTTGGGCTCTACTCTAAGCATGGAGCCTGCTTGGGATTCTCTCTCTTTTTCCCTCTGCCTCTCTCCCAATAAAGGTATGATAGAAAACATAGGTGCATTAATTTATCATAGTCATGAAATACACCTTTCTAAATATGATCTCAAAAGCCAATACCTTAAAAATATGACAGATTAAACACATAAAAATGAAAAACTTTTTACACACACACACACTGCCATAATCAAAGTTCAAAGAAAAACACTGAGAAAATATTTTACCTCACTCATAATCAAAGAAATGCAAAATAACAAGAATGATAAAACTCGGTGCTATAGGTTAAATGTAGCAAAATAGGCACTTGCCTACAGTGTTGAACAGAGTAGAAACTGGAAAATTTTCTGGACAAAAATTTGGCATTATGTTTCCTAAACTTTAAAATGTATGTGCCTTTTGGCCTAGCAATTCCACTATTAGGAATTCATCCTAGGAAAATAATTAGACAAGTGCAGAATTCAAGATAGCAATACCAAGACATGCTTTTATATCAGTGAAAAATGAGAAACAACTCAAAACGTCCATTAGTAGGAAATCAGTTCAATAATTTATAATATATCCAGATAAGAAATCATACTAAGAGAGATGATTCAGATCTATACTTATTAATATGCAAAATGACCAGATTTATTTTAAGTGAAAAAAATCAGGTTGCAAAATAGTATGATTAATACAATCCTTTTTTGTAAAAATATTTGTGGATATGGGTGCACACACACACACAGCCTGAAATACATATTGCTAAATGCTTACTATATTAATTGCTGTGTAATAAGATTCCAGGTGAGTTTCACTTTCTTCCTTATAAATTTCTGCAGTATGTATTCTTTTTTTTTTTTTTTTTTACAATGATTAGGTATTACTTTCATAGCAACTAAAATTTTTTTTATATTTTTTATTTATTTTTGAGACAAGACAGAAAGCACGAGCTGGGGCAGGGCAGAGAGGCAGACAGGAACTGAAGCAGGTTCCACAATGACAGACAGCAAGAGCCTGATGCGGGGCTCAAACTCATGAGCCCTGAGATCATGACCTGAGCTGAAGTTGGACACTTATAGCCAACTGAGCCACCCAGGCACCCCACACAGCAATTTTTTAAGCAATATTTTTCACTGGAGAAATAAAAACAGAAGTAAACCTTGAAAGGTGGGTATAATATACTCCCTCCCTATTGCTGCCTTTTAGGTCTGTCAGCGATGTTTGTTTATGTTTGGTAGCAGAAGAGTGAAGGCAGAACTAGGGGAAAAATCTATTTTTATTACACATGTAAATACTTGATATGAGGGCTTAACCTCTCAAGGCTAATTTAAATATAACCATCCTAGGGATTTTTTTTTCACTAAGGTTCAGCAGAAGAGGGTTTATAATTTCCTTAATCATCAAGTTTTTAAAAGGCTGCTGACTGGAACAATGCTATTTTTGAACAGTGCCATAAATAGGCTCATGAACTCTACCAGACAAGGTCTCTCCTTCATAGATTTAGCCTCTTCACTAAACAAACATTTATTAAGCCCTTACTCTATGCCAGGCACAGTGGATACTAAGTAAGTAAAACACAATCTCTATTTTTAATAGGTTTACTTTCTAGCAAAAGCCAGACAGAAAAGGGAGCAAATACCATGTTAACTCTGCTAGGTGCTGAAGTAACAGTAACAAATATAGGAGTGCGAAAAAAGTCTACCTGTGCAGCAAGTGTAAAAAGCTTCATAATGGGGTAACTCTTGAGCTGGAGCTGTCAAGATGAAAATATTTGTCTTCAGTCAGGAAGAGGAAATAATGACAGAATATTAACAGCATAATGAAAGAAAGATGAAAAATACACCAGGGTTGGAGTGCTCAAAGAACAGGTTGTTTTAGCTTACAAAAGTAGTATGTCCTCCTAACAAATTAAATATTATCAAAAGCATTTTTTTATTTTTCAAATTTTTATCTAAATTCTAGTTACTATATAGCATAATATTGGTTTCAGGAGTAGAATTTAGTGATTCATCAGTTACATACATAGTGCTCCTCCTAACAACTGCCCTCCTTAAAACCCATCACCCATATAGCCCATCCCCTCCACCCACTTCTCTCCATCAGTCCTAAGATTGTTCTCTATCATTAAGAGTCTCTTATGGTTTGTTTCTCTCTCTCCCTCTTTTCCCCCCTTTCCATATGGGTACATATGTCTCTTAAATTCTACATATGAATGAAACCATATGGTATTTATCTTTCTCTGACTTAGTTTGCTCAGCATAATACACTCTAGCTCCATCCACATCGCTGCAAATGGCAAGATTTCATTCTTTTGATGGCTGTGTAATATTCCATTGTACATATATGCCACATCTTCTTTATCCATTCATCAGTCACTGGACATTTTGGCCCTTCCCAATATTTGGCTATTGTTGATACTGTTGCCATAAACATAGGGGTGCATGTGCCCTTCAAATCACTATTTTTGTATCTTTTGGGTAAATACCTAGTAGTGCAATTGTTGGATTGTAGTGTGGTTCTATTTTTAACTTTTGAGGAACCTCCATACTGTTCTCCAGAGCAGCTGCTCTAGTGTGCATTCACACCAACAGAGTAAGAGGGTTCCACTTTCTCCATATCCTCACCAACATCTGTTGTTTCCAGAGTTGTTAATTTTAGCCATTCTGACATGTGTAAGGTGGTATCTCATTGTGGTTTTGATTTGTATTTCCCTAATGATAAGTGATGTTGAGCATCTTTTAATGTGTCTGTTAGCCATCTGGATGTCTTGTCTGGAAAAATGTCTATTCATGTCTTCTGCCTAATTTCTTCACTGGATTATTTATTTTTTTCTTGGGGTTGAGTTTGATAAGTTCTTCATAGACTTTGGATATTAACCCTTTATCAGATAATGTCATTTGCAAATATCTTCTCAAAAACATTTAAATAAAAAATGCAAAGGTTTCATTATTTTTCCTATTCCAATTCCTCCAGTCTCACTTCCTGAGGTAGTAGAGTTAACAGCTTGAGTGATTCCTTCCACACTTTCTCCAGCAAACACAAGCCACATGCTTGCTTTTGGTTTCTTTTACTTCGGCAAACATGGAATCATGCGACACACATTGTTGTTCAACTTTTAGAAAATTATCTAACGGGGTACCTGGGTGGCTCAGTCAGTTAGTTGCCTGACTCTTGATTTTGGCTCGGGTCATAATATCACAGTTTGTGAGTTACAGCCCTGTATGGTGCTCTGCACTGATAGTGCAGAGCCTGTTGGGGATTCTCTCTCTCTCTCTTCCTCTCTCTCTGCCCCACCTCATGATAAATAGAACCTTTCTCAAAATAAATAAATAAAGTTAAAAAATTATCTAACAATCTACCCAAGGATATCTCTCCTGGTCAGTGAATATGGATCTGACATATTTTTCAAATAATTGTGTATTATTGCTAAGTGTGGACTGTATTTAATTATGTCCCTATTTGTTAGACATTTAGCTTGTATTCATTTCATTCTTTTCTTTTACCCTCCCAATAAAAACAATGATTTTATAACCACCACCATTTTGTGTGTCCTAACTTTTGTGTGTAGTTTATTTGTATGGGATGAATTTCTGAGTATGTATTTGCCAAGTCAAAGATTGTGCATACTTTAAATCTTAAAGATATAGCTAAGGGAATAGGTATGTTGGCATCGTTTATTAAATATTTCACCTTTCGGGCACCTGGGTGACTCAATCAGTTAAGTGTCCGACTTCAGCTCAGGTCATGATCTCATGGTTCGTGGATTCAAGCCCTGCATCAGGCTATGTGATGACAGCTAGCTCAGAACCTGGATCCTGCTTCAGATTCTGTGTCTCCCTCTCTCTCTGACCCTTCCCTGCTCATGCTGTCTCTCTCTCTCTCTCTCTCTCTTTCTCTCTCTCTCAGAAATGAATAAAATATTTAAAAATATTCCACCTTTTCCCACTAAATTGGAATATCATCTTTACCATGAATCTATTTCTGGACTCTGTTCTATTCCAGTGAACAGTGTATCTATTCCTATGTCAATATCATACTTTTTATTGCTATACTTTTTTATGACTAGCTTAATAATCTTGAACAGAATGGCATTGTGGTTAAGGACATGGGCTCCTGAAACCAAAAGCCTAGGTTTAGATCAGACTTCACCAACTTTGTGATCTTGAGCAAATTACTTCAATACCTTCATCCATAAAAGGAGGATAGTAACAATATCTAACTTATGAGGTTGTTGTGAGGATTAAAGGACTGATGTAAGTAGAGTGTTCAGAGCCATGCCCAGCTCAGGGTAAATGGGAAGCATCAGCTGTGATTAGGGTAACTGGAAAGGCATGTTATTGATGGGGTTTAGGAAATGCTAGCCCCGCAAATGGCACCTTGGCATATTAAGTATTTTGAACTGAAGGAGTTTGAGAAAACAGCAGAGTCATGGTCACTCTCAACTTCCTTTGCCCTTTCCCACTGAAACAGCTCATAAGACTCTCAAGTGAGAGGTGCCCTCCCTACTCTCAAAAGAAAGAAGCATCCTTATCTCTGAAGACAAAGGGATCTCAAGAAGAATTCTGATGAACAGGCTTGCTGTTTCCCCCAGTTTACTATATTTATCTCATACTCTTTGATTATCCTGTTTCTTTACACCTATCTAATCTTCATCAAAATAAAAAAATACATAAAAATACTCAGGTCTACAGGCACCTCAGTGGCTCAGTCAGTTGAGCATCCAACTCCTGATTTTGGCTCAAGTCATGATCTCATAGTTGTGGGATGGAGCCCCACATCGGAATCCACATTGTGCGTGGAGCCTGCTTAAGATTCTCTCTCTCTCTCTCTCTCTCTCTCTCTCTCTGCCTCTCTCCCTTACACTGCTCCTCTGCACTACTCATGCTCTCTGTCTCTTTTAAAAAAAAAACAAAAACAATTCATATCTAACTGTTTCTCCCAGTCTTCATTTTCTTAAGAGGACTCTTATGTCACACGAAACTGACATTAAATAAATTTGCATGCTTTTTGCCTGTAAATCTGTCTTTGTCAGAGTTTTGCCAGTTTAATTTTCAGGCTCAGCCAGGGACCCTAAGACAGTTGAGAAAATTTTTTTTTCTTCCTCTACATCATCTTTCACTATTCTTACACAGTTTTCTTGTGTCTTCACTGGCTTTTATGTTTCTAAATGAACTTCGAATAATTCTGTCCAGTCCCTCCTCACAAAAGTTTTAGGATTCCTGTTCATATATTCATAGAATATGCATTTGGAAAAGATTACAACAGACTTATAATCACAGTTTCCTCTAGGGAAGAGAGTAAGCTGGGACTTCACACAACTGAATTTTTAACATGCATATATTACTTAAAAAATAAAAATATCTTCTGAGTTTTTCTGTTTTATATTAGTATTCTAAGCTTAGTGTTTTAATCTGAATTACATTCATATATATTCTAGACTGGTGTTGTGCCCTTAAATAAGAAATTAGGTGCTCCTGCACACTTGAAAATGGGTTCCTGTGGCTGAGGACTGGAAAGCTTCATAAGCAAGAAACATGTGGTCTAGACCTTGAAAGATGAATGGGTGTCCTCCTGACAGAGAAGAGTGATTAGGACATTCCAGAGTTTGAGAATAGGCTTGCACAGAGATATGAATAAACACTGCATGTGAGGGGGGTGGGAATGGGGAGAGAAGAGAGAACACTGACTTTGAGCAGAAGCCAGGGCTGAGTTCTGGAATCTAAGAATGTGATGAGATGGAAGAAAGTGCTTTTTCCACCCCGTCTCACCCAGGGAATTTCAGGGTGAATTAGAGAAGGGCAGAACAAAGATAGCCAGGACAAGATTAGGCTGTAATCTCTGTGAAGACAGGACCACACCTGTCCCATTCAGCATTCTGTCCCCAGTTCCTAGGATGGTGCACATAGAGGCCCCCATAAGTATTTGCTCAATGAATGGATAAATGAATGAATGACTAAAAATCACATCTAACACAGCAGTAAATTTTTGAGAAATAAATGAAAGCAAATGATAATTTTGAGTAAATTTTATTTATTTATTTTTTAATTTTTTTTTAATGTTTTATTTATTTCTAGGAGAGATAGGGAGAGACAGCGTGAGCAGGGGAGGGTCAGAGAGAGAGGGAGTCACAGACTGAAACAGGCTCCAGGCTCTGAGCTGGCAGTCAGCACAGAGCCCGACGCGGGGCTTGAACCCACAAACCGCGAGATCATGACCTAAGCGAAAGTTGGACGCTTAACCGACTAAGCCACCCAGGCGCCCCAATTTTGAGTAAATTTTAAAAAGCAAATGATAACATATGATGATAAATGGAAGAAATATCATCTGTTGCATCACTAATGATAAATATGTGATGAATACCTGCTCTATCAATGAATGCACATAATATGGGCATGAGAGCATTAAGAAAACAACTTATTTGAAGGAGATGCTTTTCCATCAAGTTCTTACTTGAAAACTAATACTTGAAAATGAGCTCTTAATAGCTCATTTTCACATATAACTACAATAATTGAGATGGGATGGAAAAGCAAAATTGAGGGACTTTGGACAACGGTCAAAGATGCAGAACTCTCCAGAGAATCTGTTGAGCAACTACTTTATGGTGTACTGTCACCGCTGCCAGGCTGGAGATAACAGGTAAATGAATGAGACGAAGAGGCTGCCTAGTCTGGTGGCAGCAGCTCTTGTGTGGAGCCAGGAAACCTGGGCTTGCATCCCAGCTCTCATGCTCACCCAGCAGCCCCTGTTCTC